AGTGAAATATAAAATTAATGGAAAGTGGATCATGAAATTGAACTGTAAAATTGACCTAAAACCTAAATTTAAACCTCAACCTAAGCTAAAACCTAAAACCTACCACATTTTATTTAATTTAAATTTTTATTCTATTTAAAGAAATCTTAAGAAATGTTCTTTTCTTTTTATTAGTTAAATATGAAATTAATGGAAAGTGGATCATGAAACTGAACTGTGAAATAACCTAAAACCAAATCTAAAGCTAAACCTCAAGCATAAACCTAAAACCCAACACATTTACTTTATTTTATTATTTTTTTTCTAGGTTTTTTTTTTGTTTGTTTTGGGGGTTTTTTTCTTCAAATTTTGTATTTAATTTTATTGTTTGTATTTTGTAAATGAAAAAGATTAGAAAATGTACAAAAAAGTTTATTTTCTATCATATTGCATTTTAAAATTGTATTCAATTTGTGAAAATATACAATTAAAAAATTCAATATAATAGAAAATAAACTTTTTTGTACATTTTCTTATCTTTTTCATTTACAAAATACAAACAATAAAATTAAATAAAAATGTGAAAAAACAAAACAAAACAAACAAACAAAAAAACTAGAAAAAAAATAAATAAAATATTATTAATTCTTGTTTATTGTTAATAAAAGTAAACAAATTTGTAAAATGCTTCATTGCAACAAATGGCAAGAATATAAGAAAATATATTGCATTCTATGCTTAATTGAAAAATGCTGCCAATGGAACAAGATAAAATACAGATAGAAACCCAGAACATTTTTTTCTCAGTGTTATGAGAACATGTATGAAATATTAATAAAGTTATAAGAACGTTCCATAACCATTACTTAAAGAACATTTTGTCCTCAATTTTAACAGCGTTGTTAGTGAAAGTTGTGAGAGCGTTCCCGGTTAGCTGGGAAGAATTCTTTAAAATCTATCAAAAATAGTGTCATACTCATGCAGTTGTGCTTCTTGGCTGAATGCACCTTGTTTATAAAAGTGTTTAAGAATAGGTTTGCAGCACAAGATATTTCAGTCCTTCCGTACATGTCACATGATCAGTGTGTTTGCTCGTGTGTGTTTAGACGAGAAACATGAGTGTGAAAATGCTTTCCTGCTTTCCACACCACTGGGCTTTGAGTCTCACAGGCTTTGGCCCAGATCACAGCAGGTCACAGACAAAGACTCAAGACTCGGATTCAAAATTTAGATATTAAAAACAGGTTGAAAACTTATTTTTTAGGGTCATTGCATGAATTAATGAATGATGCATTTATATAGCGCTTTATTGTGTATTGTTGTACACATGTTGTGCATGCGCATTCATTCTGTATTGTGACGTTTATAATGTTCCTTTTATTGTCCAGTGCTCAGAATGAATGGACATATTGTGCATCTCTGCATTATATCCTGTTCTTTTTATCTGATGAATAAATGCAAAAATAAGAGAGTTTCCTCCTTAAGTGAATCTGTGTGAATGACAGACTAAATTTTGCTGTAGCTCAGTTTTACAATTATATAGTCAAAAACTGAAGTGAAAGACAATCTGATGCAAAACCTCATGTATTTCAGCATAAGACTGGACGGTTTTGCTGCTGCTGCAGATTGTATTTTTGGTGATTCTGTTGGGAGGAAGATGCAATAAAAATGACAGCTGACATGCAGACAGTGCATCCTCCAAACTCATGCAAAAATGCTTCGATTTGAACTGAAAATAGATTAAATTTTAGTATTACACATTCATTACATAATAAATTATAGCATTATATATTCCTGTTATTAAAAACGTTTTGATCTTAAGGCTTCTAATCAAATAAAGTTAACATTTTTGGTTATTTCCCAGGTTATTATTGTTAACTAAACTTAAACAAAAACCATTCAAAAAAATCATTAGTTGAAATAAAATAATATTTAAAACAAAATATTTCAGCTAGCTGGTAAGACAACTTTAAACTTGAAAAACTAAGATAACAATAATTAAATCT